AACTGGTTAATCGGTAGGGTTAACCGATTAACACTGCTCCAATAACAGAAAACAGCAGCAGAAAAGCACTTATCAGCAACTTATCACTTAAGCAAATTTCCACATGATCTCATAATCAATTGTGCACAAAATTAAACCATCAAATAGTGATAACAACATGATGTAATGCTTTATGGATGCAATGCACAATCATACACAAGTAAACAAAGGTTCTAGGTTAGAGGAACAATGAATGGAGTTAAGGTCTACCCTTCCCAAAAAGGTATGCATTATCAGGTTAATTGTACCTGCAGAACAAGGGTTCTAAAGAAGTGCTCAAAGTCATCAGTCCATCTTTCATATATTATCAATTTCCGAACTGACTCGGTGGTTAATAATATTCTCAAGAGAACCTCTTTTGAGTGTAGTATCGTGTAGCAACTATTTTGGGACTACTCCCTCATAGTTCCCGCACTACGTCCTATATAAGGCCAAGGTTGTGTTAAGGTACTACGGTCCCCTGTATCACAAACTCCAATCGACAATAGTAAAAGTTTTCACGACTATTCGTTCAACCGAACCATTTTTGAAAGGGTCCCAATTGAGCGGTGATTCTCAAGTCAGCTTGGTCGGGAATCACTCCTTATAAGCCTCGTCGAATATATCACCTTCCTATAATAATATCACTCAAGTTTGGGTGTAGGACTTATCTCACAATAAAGATACCCCAAGCAAGGTACAAGATATATATACAAGCAGGCAAATAATGAAGCAAATAGTAAAATAAACAAAGTAGGGGTAACCCTTAAAAATTAGGAGGGTCCCCAGTGAAGTCGCTATTTTCTGTTGCGATTAGAATAGGATATCAAACTATTAATTAGTTTAAATCACATCTTTTAGTTCACAATCGATCTTTGATTTATCCGAAGGAAAAGGTCAAATGAAGAAAAACTTATTTTTGCATCATAAACAATGCGGGGAGAGATCTAGGTAAGGGGTTAGTTAAGCTTAGGGAAGGTACTAGCAGCCTAAACTTCTGTAGTACTCTACAGGAACCTTTTGTTTATCGTTTACTATTTTGCTTTAATTATTTGCTTGAGGGTATATTGCTAAGGGTTAGAGAGTGACAGGAAAACCTAAGGGTTAATCCTAAGTTTACTCGGCAAGATTTACATCTTGTGCCTACGTATCCTGGGTAGGGAATAGAATCAGAGTAATCGTAATTTTCCTCAAAAGGGAGGTTAGAAACTTCTTGACTGTGGTCAAGGTTTTAATAGGGAATAAGCGTTCTTAAGGAAACGCTTACGTGGAGTGCGGCAACTCCTATTTCTACGTTGAAATAGTTGAATTGAAAATAGGGATAAAATAGATATTCCACGGCGGGAAACCTAAAACGGAGTGCGGCGACTCCTTAACCTAATGCTAGGGTAAAGGGTATTTTCGTCCACGGCGGGACACTAGTCAATTTAGGGTTTTGAAATGGTCAAAGGTTAGGGTTATTGACTCGGCAGTCAAACGGCTAGACCTAATCCTTCAGAAGGATGCTAATGAGAAATGATGCAAATGACAAATTATTACATGGCAGAATTTGAAATATAGTGTAAATAATGAAAGCAGTAAAAAAAATACAAAGCGACGATCACTCGCATAAATTACAAACCAAAAAATGAAACGGTAATAATACAGCGACAATGGCCTCGCATAAGTTACAACCCAAAAAACGAAATGCGATAAAGTACGGGGAATTTAGTAATTACACAATGGAGGAACAGTGGAAAAATGACATAAAAGTTATACAAACTTAACGGGGAAATAAACGGGCACAGTTAATTCACAAGTGAAATCAAAATATTAGCCAAATTAAAAAGAAAAGTGTGAAGTTAACTGAAAAATAAAATGGCTTTGAATTACAAGTTTTGTTTTTTTTTTTAAAAAAAGATTTTGATTAATTTTAAAGAAAAAGTGGATTTGGTTTATTTTGAATTTTAATAAGCATTAATGAGTTTTTTTTAAAAAAAATTGAAATGATTTAATTCTAAATTATTAAAAATGGTTTAATTTGAAATATTTTAATTAAAAAAGGTTTTACATTATCAAATTGGATAAGTGGTTTTAATTTGAAAAATAAGGTTTAATTTTTATAAAAATATTTTAAATTTCAAGAACAGGTTTTAACGTTAGGAATAGGTTTTAATATTAATAGTAGGTTTTAATGTTAGAACCTTTTTATTTAACAAAAGATAGTAACTTTAATAAAAGGTTTTAAAATTTTATAATTATATTAAACCTTAAAGCTAATACTAATAATAATGACAAATAAAAGAAAAGGAAAAAATGTGGTAAATTGGAATAAAAGGAGAGAGTAGCGTGTTTGCTGGCTGTTAGGTTTTTTTTTGGAACCCTTCTCCCTTCTCCAAATGCGGCGGCTCCATTGAAGCTCGGCAGAGCTTCCGCTCGTCCTTCTTCTTCGTCCTTTGCATGGCTATGATCTGTTCGTCTTCTGCTTTATTTTTCTGAAACATAAACCACAGTGAGCAATTAGTATGGCTTACATTTTGGACCCTTCGGATTTATGATTTTTATTTGCGGCGACTTTCGATGATGAATGACGATCTATGGTTTTAGGTGATCTTCAGGAGCCGATGATGAACGGAGTTCTGAGGCCCTCGGCTTGATTGTTGTCCGTTATTCCTGATAAATGGTGATGACGATGACTTACGGTCGCGGGTTCTCTTCTGTCACCGATCTGAGCTGGTGATCCTTTTTTCCTCTTCTCAAAAACCTTCTGGGTTTTTTATGATGATGATGAACCTCCGATGATGGCAACTGAGGAGGTTTTTTGGCTCGCGGATTTTCTTATGATGCACTTAAATCTTCTTCTTTGATGTTCTTGAAGAACTCTCTTTCGTTTCCCTTTTTTGCGATGATTTTCCAGTGAGTTTATAATTTGCGGTCGCCGTTTGTTTTTCGTTGAATCCCTCTCCTGATTTCTGGTGTTGGAACTTTATATCGTTGTTTTTTTTGTGGGCTCGGGCGAATGATTTGTTATGATGAATTTACGGCTGATTTGAGGAATTTCTTGCGTTCTTGTGGTAGATTTATCAGGAGTTTCCGTTGCTAGATTGTTGTTTGCGCCGAGATTCGTGGCTGATTCTTTGCGTTGACTTAGCTGAAGTTTCGCAATTTTCTTGTTGGTCATGCTGGAAGTTGCGAACTTCTGGGCTTGTTATGACTTGGTGATTTTACTGCGTTTGATCCGTTGCCTTGGAAAATTTTGGAGAATTATGTTAGTGCCTTGTTTGGCAAAATCATTTTTCGGAAAAAGCTTTTCCAAAAGCGCTTATTTCCATAATCACTTTTCTTAAAATCACTTTTTCTTTCTCTAGAAATAAAAAAAAAGAACAGATGTTGCCTGATTTGCCGAGGTCGGAATTGAGTGTCGGGAGTTGGCGACGGAATATTCCGTTACCCTTCCGACATGCCCGATGATGACGAGTTGCTGAGGGTATCGGAATCACACAAACATCTGTCTAACTGATTAAACAACTTGCTTGCTTATCACTGATTTTGCAGGTTCGGACAGAAAATTGAAGAATCATTTTATTTCACATTTTGAAGAAATCAGACTTAAAGGGTAGTTTAGGAATTTTAGAATTTAGGAACAATGTAATTTCAATCTTGTAATTCCTTTATTATTTGGATATTGTAATAACAAAATAATTGCATAAATAAAATTTTAATTTCACTATTTGGCTATTGCACAAAATAATAAAATAAAACTCTATTTTCTATTAATTTAAATTTCTCAATTCAATTTATCCGATTAAATCCAATTTTCGATAAATTTCCGAATAACCCAACCGGTAACTTAAGTGAATAACCTCCTCTGAATCAATCCTACTTGTTCGATTAAACGCCAATGACCAACCTCTTTAAACTCATTCAAATAGATCCAAATTGATTAAACCAACTTGTCCAACCTCTTGCAAGTCAATCTGTATCTGATATTAAAATGAATATGGCCTTGACCAAATAAGCAGAGAAACTCAGTTTAAATGGTAAATGAAATTGTCTTCCGTATTAAAATTTCAGATCGAGTTTCAACTAAGTAAATCACAGGACTCGATGATGGAAATCCTAATCACTTGAGGACCCCTGATGACGACTCAAGCTCATGAACTGTCAGCAGGCTGCACATTAATGACCATTTTGCCCTTCCTACATTAAAGGCGCCCAACGTGATTTTCCCTGCAAAATCAAACAGACTACAAAAACCGGTTAGCAGTTAGTTAAAATGTCATGCAGAATGAGATGACGTGCGAAATGGACCTAAAAATCTCGGGACAAAATTTGAGGTATTACATATTCATTATAATTTTTTTTTCTTTCTAACAAGTTAAAAATTTATAAAATAAAACAAGGACATAAACCTAATCAAAAAGAAAAACTAAATTATTTTTTCTATTTAATTAAAACTGGAAATAGTGAAAATGAACATATAAATTTACAAAATCGCACGCAATTAGTTAGAATTGACTTATTTTTTCCTAGTGAAAATTAAAACACGACATTTTAATCTTTATGGTAGTATTAATTTTGTCTTAAGAGTAATCGTAACTAAACCATGAATATTCTTAATAAAATAATTGTTTTCTAAACATTTTCTACGAAGGTAAGTGAATTTTATAAAAGGATAAAACTTTAGCATTTTTAGTGCATTTTAAATGAGGTATAAAAATATATAATATATATGATATCATCATTAATATTCATTCTCAATAAAGTATTATATCATCTTTAATCACGGTACCTTATTCAGTTATTACAAATTTACAATGTGAATTGTAAAAATCTGATATAGCTTTATAAAGACCACTTATTAGAGATTCTTTACAAAAGTAAAACTCAAAGTAAATTCTTTAAAAAATAAATAAAATTAGAGATTGCTTAACAAAATACAAATTGTATTATTTAAGTTACCAAGTAAGTTTGGTAATCAAACGTCTACACTCATTTAATATTTAGAACAATCGGTAGGTTTGAACGAGACGATATTTTTTTTTGAGGTCATAACCAATCAAATGATTCGCTTGTGCGCGATTTCCAAAGAGGCCTAAATCATGTCTATGTGGACGAAATGAAATTTTTTTTATCCTTTCTAATATAGAAGTAAAGACACCTCTAGGATCTAACTTAATATCAGCGCCACTAAAATGTGCAGTAATTTCAAGAAAGTTTGATTGTTGGGATAATGTGGTATTATAACACAGTCTAGATGAATCAGTGTCATCATGAAAGCGCTCTAATTTAACCACTTTTTTAACTGCAGATTCCAACTTAAAGTAAAAATGACGTGGAAAAAGAGTTACAGTTGTACCAGAGTCAATTATGATGTTATGCGTTGAAGCATTTACTCCTTTTTTTTTGAACCCTCTATATTTTATTCTTTTATTTTCCACGCTAAATGCTTTCAAATTTAAGTAATAATAGTCTTTTTCTTTTCCTATCATTTTGACCATTGGAGTTGAAACAACTTTATCACCTGAAACAATAGAAGAATCTCCAAAATTGAGTTTGCTAGATAAACTAAATTTTCTATAATACTCATTGGCAGATAAACAGTATGAGAATTTTCCATTAATTGAAGATCCTAATTGTTTTATTAGTGACGTAGGACCCTTTCCAAAGCCAATTATACCAGAACTTGGACCATTATACGGTGTTGACCAAGTATTGGTGCGTCCACAACCTATCACAATTTTAGGAAATGAGACAATAAAGCCAGAGGTAGAATGTAATGTAATAGTATCCATACTAAGATCTCCTTGTGTCTTTGATCCAGGATCATATTCAAGTGTATACTCACAAGCATCTCTGTTATAAGAGCAAGAAGTACCTTCAGTAGATTTGCATGTTTTGGAAGAACATGTAACTTTTTTGTAAGTCAAAGATTTTGAAGAATTAAAAATAGGATCGGTTTGATTGTAACATATATTACAAGGTTTGCATTGAAGCCATATTAAGTTACTACCTGTATCTAAAACACCATAGACTTTATGTGGAGGCGTGCCTATTGAATAACTCATTAAATAATCACCATCATTATAGATCATAGATGACTAAGTTTGTTTTTATTTTGAGAAAATTCTCTATTAATAAAATTGACACGATTGATAGAACGACGGACAGCATTGAAAATGCGTTGGAATTTAGTTTGTGTGGGATTGTAGAACGGCGATTTAGAAGAATCACGGTGAATCAGTTCAACAGTAAAACCATTGTTTGTTGCCTGAGAAATAGCAATTAAACAAGAAAGGCAAAATAAAATAAGGGTAAAATATGAAAATGTGACATTATTAAGTGAAAATTTTGTTATTATTTCACAACACTTATAAGACCAGAATGAAAATGGATGCAAAGATAAGAGCGCGAGCATTTAAAATCGAGAATATTTGTTTAATCAATATTTATTAGTTTTTAAAGTATAAAATTATATACTTATCTAATATACCTATTTTGAAGATTTCGTTTGACTTTATTAAAAGAGAACGATATGATTTGGCTTCTTTTATGCCAAATACTCTTTAATTTTATTTATATAAAAAAATTATTTTTTTTGATTTATAGAACAATTGGTATATTTAAACATCAAATAGTTTAGTTTTTTAATGAATTTAAAAAAGTAAATATTTTTTTATAAATAAGTTAAGAGAGAATATGATTATATTTATATTCAACGCAACATTTTCAAAATGACAATATCTCATTGTTGTTTAATGAATTGAAAAGTATCTCATCGTTGTTTAATGAGTTTAAACGACATAAATATTTCTTTTTATTAAATAGGATAAAAAAGAGTATTAATATATATATTCAATGCAACATTTTCAAAATGACAATTGTTGCCATTTTAATGTCTCTTAAAAATTAATATCTATACATATGTAAATTTAAAATTATAATTAATGATTGTCATTTTTTTAGACTATTTTAAAAAGTATAAAATTATAATTAATGATTGTCATTTTTTTAGACTATTTTAAAAAGTATTTGTTGCACCCTAAAATTTACCCAACCTTTCTTTACCTAACTTGTGTTTCATTGCATTCATTTTAGCATTTTCATTTGCATTGCATTGACATGTATGCAGGAGATTAAGAGGTATGACTACCCACAAAGGGCTACACAAGGTTATGAAGCTAGCTAAGAGGCTTATTCAAGTGCTCAAGGGTTGATATCCTCACCAGAGAAGGCAAAGATCCTCAGAGAGAGTGGTTGAAGCCAAGTGTGTACATCTCCTAACTTGAGAGTTGGGGGAGGTCCTCAGATGATTTTGAACCCATGGGAGAGGACTTGAGACCTTGAGAGAGCTCATGAGAAGTATTAAAGATCATTTTGAAGCCTAGACAGGTCATTATGCAAAAGATAAGAAGCTACAACCAAGATGGGTGCATATAGGGTTTCATCTGGTCAACCCTAGGTCAACTGATGATTTGAAGAAGGTTGAGACCTAACTCCAAGGCCATGTGATCATGGATTGATGTATTAAGATGTCCAAGGGATGATTCCAAGGTCAACTCATCATGAATCAAGAGTGTGAGGAGTTCCTAGACTAGGGTTGATATGCTTGACAGTGTAAAATCCTTTGGTTTAGTGCATAACTTCAAGACCACATAACTCAAGATGTGATTTTCATCTCACCTTGACCCCAACATGATTGTTGTAGAGCATGTGCATAACTTTAATTTTAGTACTAGAAGTCCTTGATAGGGTTTATAGAACTCAAGTTATGAGTCAGACAAGTTATAGGTCATCAGAGGAATGTGAAATTGGAGCTTGAAAGTCAACCAACTTGCATGACACTTTTTCCCTAGAAGGATGATTCTCATGAACTTTTGACCAACATGAATGTTGTTCCTTATCTTCTTAGCTTTCTAGAAAGTACTAGAAGTCCATGATTGGATTTGTAGAACTCAAGTTATGAGCTTTACAAGATAAGGGTATTTTGGGAATTTGGAATTATAGGTCATTTGTGGTTATGGACCTTGGATTGTAATACTTTTAGGATAGACGCTCATGATTAGAACGTAGGGTGAACCCTAGTCAACCAGCCACACCAGAACACCCATGAAACGTTGCGTTTCATTTAGGTGGACTCCTGAGACACGTGGCACCACTTCTCCCTTTAGATGTGTAGACTAGTCTCCAGATCCAACGCCTGCGTTTTATTCCTAGTTTTTTAATTCATTTTAATTTCTTTTAATTGTTTTGTGATTTTCTTTTATAGTTTTAATTGTTTTTAATTCATTAAAAATATAAATAATTGTCAGAAAAATGTGAAAAAAATTATGTCTGTTCCTTGGATTATTTCTGATTTTTGCATGCCATTTATTTGGAATTTTGGTTAATTTTCCATTTTTGTGCTATTTTTCCATTTTTGTTGCATGATTAAAAATGTTCAAAATGACTAGTTTAATTTCTGATTTTATTACTAGCTCATACTTTGGAATTTAGTTTTGAAATTTTGCATGCTTGTTATAGACTCCTTTATAGGTTTGTCTGATTTTTATGGTATTTTTTAGATGATTCTAAGTTGGAGTTTGAGATAGGTTTTAGGACTTCCCCCTTTATGGATTCCTTTTAGTACACCTTGAGATGTAGAAATTGTTTAGCACCCTTATATTTAGGTTTTGATCTTGAATTTTCTACTATGGTTCCCTAACCCATTTAGGATCATTTGGGATTTTTATTAGTATTTTTAGAGGTGATCTTCTATTATTCCCACATTTTACAAGTTGATTATGGTTTAGGTGACCCTAACTAGGCTTACTTCATAGATTAGTCTTTTAAGTGAACATTAGATAACTCTAAGCTTCATATCCTTTCTTGATAGAATAGAACTTAGGTAGATACCTCTCTAGAACCTTGATTAACCCTTGATAGAGCTTTTGAATCTCCCTAATTTAGGTGATCCTTATAGCTAGTCATTAGGGTTTCTTAGAAGTTGTTGTAGTGCCTTCTTTCCCCTATGTGATTTCTTCCCTGGGCTTTTCCCTATCCTCTTTCTCCAAGTCTTGAAGAGGAGCCCTCTTGGGAGAGCCTAATCCTTCCTTTGGTTGGATTCTGTGCATTCCTCAGGAGGTTGAGCCTTGAATTGACATTCATCAGTATAGTACATTCCTTTGGTTTGCACTATCTTTCTCCTTCAAGTCTTGATGAGGAGCCCTCTTGGGAGAGCCTAATCCTTCCCTTGGTTGGATTCTGTGCATTTCTCAAGAGGTTGAGCCTTGGATTGACATTCTTGGCATGGTATATTCCCTTGGTTTATATACTATCATCCATCTCCAAGTCCCTTTCTTAGGACCCCTCTTGGGAGAGCCTAATCCTTCCCTTGGTTGGATTCTGTGAATTCCTCAACAGGTTGAGCCTGAGATGGACATTCTGTGTTGATACACTTTAACCAGATACCTTAGATTGACATCTAGGACTAATACCCGGTCTTTTCTGTCCTATTGACACAGGATCCCTCTTGGGAGAGCCTAATCCTTCTCTTGGTTGGGTTCTGTGCATTCCTCAAGAGGTTGAGCCCATGATGGACTCTTGTGTTGACACAAATCCAACCTGATGTAGCCTGGGATGACTTCCCTATTGCTCATCTTGGTTTCATTTCTCTTCCTTGTTTGACATTGCTTGATGCATTAGGGTAGTCTCATATAAAGAATATTTTAGGCTAGGAGCATGATTGCATTAAGAGGTTGAGTGGGTCTCCCTCTGCTTGCTTGCATTAAGGGTTGAGGTGATCCTCCTCTTGCTTGTGTGTTGTTTTTCTTTTTATATGATGTGTTTGCATTGAAAGGTTGAGCTGAGCTCCCTTTGCTTGTCTGTTTTGATGGTTTTCTTTGCTTGATTGCTTAGAGGTTGAGTGAGTCTCTCTCTGCTTGTATTGCTGCATTGCATTTGCATCTTTACTGTTTTCTCTTCTTGTTTTATCTGCTTTAATGATTTTTGCAGTTATTTTTCTGTATCCCATTGACATGATCCCCTAGGACTCTCACTTCCTTTGATAAGGAAGTGATGACAGAACTTTAGGTTGAAACCTTTGCATGATAATATATAGGAGTTCCCTATTTCAAACCTCAACCATAGGATGAATCCTTGGCATGACAACATTAGTGCTTGATAGTTTCCCTATAGAGTTGGTTCTCTTCTCTCTCTAAAACAACAGTAAAAAACGTAATAAAGGCAAGTTGGTACAAGCGCGTTACGAGCCTTAAGCCACTTGGAAAATGATAATTGAGCGGTCTCCTCTCAATCGTCTAGAGTGTTTAGTATACGTTCTTTGGACGTTATGCGATGCATTCGTTTCCAAGTCATAGTCTCTAGAGCTGTACGGACTACAAACAACCATAAAAAACACTTCTTCCATAAAAGACAGAAAACAAACTTCAAACCTCTTTTGCCCCGTGGGCCCATAATCCGAGGAAAACATTTTCAGAAAAAGAGTGTCGTTAACTCTCAGTTCTACCGCAAACGGTAACGCACGAGTCTCCGGCGAGCAAGTTGCATACACCAAACTGCTGGAACTGTTTGTTAACCCTACTCAGAAAAACAGATGAATCTGAACCCCCGTAATCTGCGTTATCCCGAACTACGTAAGCTATAATCTCTCATATCCGTTGAGAGTACGTAGGCACAATACTGACGTATTGGCGAGCAACCTTCCCCCATCCTTTTACCCGTAGTTAGCCGAACTACGTTGACTCTGATTTCTCGTTCTCTGACGAGAATACGTAGGCACGAAGCGCGATGCTTTGTCGAGTCATTTTTCTTTTCTTTTCAGACCAGCCTTGATAGGTAGATAGTTAAACCAACCCGTCAGATAAACACAACAAGCGTGGATCACGTTGAGCACAACAGACGTGAGGGGTGCTAATACCTTCCCCTTGTGTAACCGACTCCCGAACCCAGACATGGTTGCGATGACCTTGTCTTATACCTTTTCATCAGGTTTCTCCGATCGTTTCCTTTCCCTTTTTGTGGGATAAATAACGAAAGGTGGCGACTCTTCTGTTTTGCCGGCACCTTA